ATGCATGCCAATAAAAGCTGATTGCCAATAATGTAAATTCCCCTTTTAATCGGTGCTGATCCAATATGGGTTGATATATCAGTGCACCTCTAAAGACCTATGTTTGTATAGAAACAGATCCTGCCCTACCTTCTGTATGTTTTTCAAGTGAAAGGACAGGCATTAGCGAGTATAATTTATACAAAAATAATGTTATCCCTGCATATAGTTGCGTTTGATCCTCTGCTGGAGTTTAGTAAGAGCCTGTAGACGACGGCAGGAGCAATAGCCTGGTCCGTAGTTTTCAACGTGGACTCTGACTTGCATAGATTTGGGGAACAACAAACACGAAATCTGAGAATCCCCAGTTTTACAAAAACAATGAAGAGTACACCAAGCAGCTCTGTACAGCAGCAAGGAAATAACAAGCTGTTCTAATCTACTTCAAGGGCTAAGCCCAAATACGCATTAAAACAAGAAAAATAATAAAAGGTGCTTGGCTATATAAAGAACATTTCTTATTAGATATACTAGGTATCTGTATAAGTAACTTCTTCTCAAGTACTATTTAAAGCTAACCTATATGCAGCCTCTAAGGTCCCCTGTATGCATTATAGGTATTGGGTGATTACCTTGTTAACTGTACAATTACCCGGAGACCAGCAAAGTAGCTATGACACAATATAAGCATCCAATCAGCTGTAAAGTTAGACCTCGAAGATGTGTACTAACTTTATAGCTGGTTGCTATTAAACTTTATTTCGCACGTGTACCTACATCCCCCCTGAGGCTAGGAGCCCCATCAGTTGACAGAGCTCCTAACCACAGCGTAAAAGCCCCGAGACCTGGGGATCACAGCATCCATATTCCCCAGAGGTCCGGGGGTTTCATGCACCCCTAAACCCTAGGGATTTCAGAAACTGCAATCCCCAGGGTCCAGGCGTTTCGCACAAACGTCAGGATCCTGGGGATTGAAATATCTGAAGTACTTGAAATCTCTGGGCTTTTACTGTAAATTATGTTTGTACACGTAACAGTGCTAACATTGTGCAGCACCCCATGACTGCAGCACCCTGACTGAGAATTATTGGACTGAATATTCTCCAGACCCCATTTTCTGGCAGTATCATCAACAATGTCATTTCCTGTCCAGCAAAAATCCTAATATTCCTGTACTGCCTGGCCACAATCAGAAGAGAAAAAAAAAAAACCAACCCAGTGAAATAATACATCCTTCCTCATCATTACTTTTTTTTGGAAGCAGAAAGAATTGGAAAGAGCGTGTACTAAACTAAGTACTCTACACCGAGTTTAACATTTGTTATTCTATGATTGCACTGATTTTATTTCCCCTAAATTTGAGTCACTCTTCTTAACATTTCTCTTAATTGCCTGAAAGTTATATATCCTCCAAACAATTTACAGTACCCACCTCTACTTTCAAAAATACAGACTTCTAGATAGCTGACAAACATGTGCAACCAGTTCTGTTATACCATGTTAGTCACTTGCTAGTTTGGACAAAAAAACATGGTCACTTATACTAGAGACTTGGTCAAGACATTTGCAGACCAGATATACAGATCAATGCTTCCTCCCTGGTTTTCTGTGGACTATCAGTGCAAGGTAAAGGGTGTTAGAGTATCAAACAACTCAAAATTCTGTGAGTTATATTACCTGTGGAATGATGCCAGCTTGGCTTTCTTCCTGTTTACCCATCATGGTATAGGACTTCCCAGCTCCAGTCTGCCCATAAGCAAAGATGCACACATTGTAGCCCTCAAAGGCATGCAGCAGCATCTCCTTCCCAATATCATTATACACACGGTTCTGAGATGCAAAGCAGGGATCTTCAGCCTGTAAAGATTTAAAGAGGATCAATCAATATTGCCTTCTCCTCTTAACCCAGATGCTACAATTGAAAAAGAGATTAGAGTTATTTTCTACTGAAAAGAAACCTTGTGGGTCAATCTCACAGGAGCCAGTACCACTAGCATTACTTTTCCACATGTGGCTTCTAGGGGAGTGTGAAGTGAGCCATATTCAATTCAGATTTGGTCCGATTCAGGACACAGCGATTTGATTTGCTGATTCGGATCACTGTCCCAATTTGATTCGGCCGAATCTGAATTTGAAGCTGATTCAGAGAATCAGCGATTCAGCCATAGACACAGCTTTAAATGTTTTTGCTACGTACCTTAAGGTACCAAGCACGGCTCATGAACGCCGAGACAGTGGGGCTGATGGACTGTCCCACAGAAGCGTTGGGGGGGGGGGGGGG